ACAGAGACCAGAGAAGACTCCATATAACCACAGTTACAATTAAAGACCAGCCTTTGACCAATGTCCTCATTAGGGTCTAACTCTTAGCAAATCCATTCAATTCCTGGTGGATGGTTTGTGAAGGAGAATTCATTAGTTGCAATTTTAAATTAGGCCGATGTGGTATGGATTCTTCTTGGGTTGGTAAAACAGAGGCCATGTCCCCTTAGGAAACGGAACACATCATCTCTAACTTAAGGGGGATAACCATCATAATAAAGAAAGGAGACTTTAGTTCAGACCAGCAGATACATTTAGTTGGCAACAAAAGAGCCCAATAGATCATAATTAGTGGATTTACCAATTGCCTTTCCCTAGTGACCGGCATTGGCTGTGTAGGTCTTTATCCACAACCTAAGGGCTTCAGATACACACATCTCAGCCCCTTGCCCAACCCCACACATGCAGTGACAGCCAACAAACAGCATCTGTTTGAAAGAAACACCACCTGTCCAAATGGAAAATCAAGCACTGAACCACCTCACTTCATTAGAGTATTTGTTTCCAGAGCAGAAGAGACAAAAATACCATTCTGTTACTAACACAGCCGTTTAACGCTCTGTAGGGGCTGTGGTCTGGCTTCTGCCAAGTAGAGTTGGCGCGTCTTAGAGGAACATTTGGGCCTTAGATATCAGTTCTCTGACCTGGGGCAGAGCTGAGTGATCTGCCTTGAAGGAACCTGGAGGTTTTTCCAGGAAAGCTGGAGCGGGGAGAATGCCTGACAGATGTGGCGAGGTCTGGGAGCAGCAAGTGGTGGAGAAGGATGGCCATGGACGGCCTTTCTTGATGCAGGCACAGGCACTAAGCCTGGAGCACAACAGCCTGTGAAGGATGCAGGAGCCTTACCTTTAGGGCAAAAGAGAAGTGTGTAATGATGCCCATAGTGTGCTGAAGCAGCTTCCTGTAGTGTAGCCCCTTCTAAAGAGTTTGCTGCTTTATGAATGTCTGAACAGTCTTTAAGGAATAATTTTCTATATTCTAAGTAATTTGAAGACAAAGTTGATTTCCTCTGCCATACCATCTATGAGCACATATAAGCAGCCCCTTTTCCATGGGGAACAGGAAACACATACTACCCCTTTACTCTCCTTACTTCCCACCTCTGTCATGCAAAATGGTTTCTGGAGATCGGATCAGTGCCTGTTAAAGTCACCAGAGTAGGTATGAGTGTCTGTGGCATTCGGTTTGTCAGGACTCTTTGGTATTCGACCATGCCTTGGGAAATGGCCCCTTTTGGGGTGCATGAAGCAGAGATATGATGGGAATTTAGCTGGAGTGTGTGTGTGTGTGTGTTTACTCATACTTTGTGCAAACATTTTGCAATGGTATGTTTCATGGAACCTCTACACTATTGGTTGCTAGGATGAGTCCATTTAATTCAGAGATGAGAAGTAGAATCCCATAGAGGGAAGAAGGACTTTCCCAGGCCAGAAAATCATGGCCCTTTTAGGATGAGCATTACTCTTCTGTTTTTGAGTCAGAAGCTCATGGGTATTGTAAAGGATGCCAGTGGAGAGAGAAGAGCACCGGGAGAGAGCTGGGAGCCTGCGGCTGTCAGTTGGGTGTTCTTGACTTGCACATGAACCATCAATATTTGGAACATGTTCCTTTTCATTTCTTTTTCCCTTTCTCTTACTTTTTTTCAAAATCAATAAATGGTTATGTCTTATAGAGATATAAGCAATATAATTGGTTTTTCTTTAATATAGAATTGAGTCATTTTCAATGTTTACTCTGAAAAGAATATTTGGGCATGAAAAAAACCACAGAAGCAATGTTACTGTTCTAACGAGTGGTACATGGTGGTGTTAAAGTCACTAACCATTATCACCTTGTGCTTTTAGAGTGGTGAGCAGATGCTCTGGGCTCCAAAAGTCTGCTCTTTTATTTTTGAGTTAATTGTTATTATTTGGCCACTATGAATAGGTGCCAAGATCTTAGCAAGCATCCAGTTTTCTGCCTTTAACAGCTATGTGGGTCATAATAAATCCAGCATAGTGCTAGGGCGAGTACAGTCACAGGCTCTGGAGTCAGACCGAATGGACTTGAAATTTGGATCCTTCCTTATTAGCTGTGTCAACCTGGTCAGCTAATCTAATTCTGTGCCTCTGTTTCCTCCTTTTTAAAATGGGGATAAAGGTACTTCGTAGGTATATCATGAGAATTATATGAGTTAATGCACAGATCACAGTGTGTGGCATGTGGTAGACACTCACTCAGTGATAGTGTATTAGAGTGGAAATTCATGAAATTGATGCGAGTGCCAGAAGACCTGACTTTTAGGTTCATGTCACTGAAACATCCAGTATTTTCTGAGTTTTTCACTTTTTACCAGGCAGCTATGTGTGGGATGGGGTGGTGGAAGTACTCTATTGACTGGACAAATCATGTCACCTCTCTGCACCTGGTTTTCTTAACTTTACATCCTAATGTTTAGATTGAATACTATCCTTGACTCATAAAGCTCAGTAAATTGTATTCAGCATCACTGATGTTCCTGGACCTTTAAGGACTCATTCTCCACTTCGGCTTTCTAGGGTTATGTTCTGTAAGATTTTTATAGAATAGTCTCTTCCAAGCACTATTCCCTGGGTCTCCTTTGAACTTTGCCTGAACTTGTACACAAAGTCTTTTAAGTTCTTACAAGAAAAAATGCATGAGTGATAAATATCAGGCCATTCAGTTTCCTTTTAGTACATACATTCAGTTATATCTACACTCCTACAGATATCTTTATTTCCTAGTTTTCAGATAACTACTTAGAACTCTTCAATGTATTTTCATTTCTCTACAAATAGGGACAAAATTCCTTTACAAACTCCTTCCCTATCTCATACGCCAATCTCAGCTTAACATTTTCTCCTCGATTACCTGTGCTTTAGGGGCAGTTAGTTTCTTTGACTTCAGCAACTGTGCCGTGATTTCTTGCCTTAGTCTTGCACGTGCTGTTCTCTCTGCTTGGATTTCTCTTCTCTGTCCCTTCCCTCACTTCACCTCCTTAACTTTTATTAATCTGTCAAATTTCTGCTTGAATAAAAGCATCCTCAGAAGTTCTTAGCCAAATCTGAGCCATCCTGCATGCCAGATTGGACCTTGTTTTCTCTGGGTGTGTTAGAGATCTTGTCTTTGTCTTGACTGTTCTGTAGTTTCAATTGAATCAGCTGCTGATTTTCATTTGGGACTCATAATTTTTGAATATGAATATTTATGTCTTACATAAATTCTCAAAAATTCCCTTCAGATATTGCTTCTACTCCATCCTCTCTTGTCTCCATCTGGAACTCATAGATGGATTCATGTTTGTTTCTTTATTTTCTGTCTTTTTATCTCTCTGTGTAGTATTTTGAGGAATTTTCTCCAATTTTTTCCCCCTACTAGAGTATTTTTTTTCTTCAACTTTGTTTAGTTCACTGTTAAACTCTTCCACTGAGATTTTATGTCAGTGAATCTACAATTTTTTTTTAACTTCTGTAAGGTCTAATTGGTATTTTCCCAAATATGTTTGGTCTTTTATGATAGTGTCTTTTTTCTTTTAAAAATGTTTTTGATTACTTTTATGTCTTTAGTTGTATTTTGGATTCTTGCTCATATAGACTGTCATATAATTTATAACTTTTCCCTACTTAGCACAGCCCCCAGAAAAATCAGCTTATGCTTTTGCTCTGATTTTGATTTCCTTTTTCCTTTCTGGCCTAGGGATTTCCTAACTTGCATTTAGAAAGCTATCACTTATATCTCTACCCAGCCTATCCAGTTGTTTTATAGTGAGAGTTTTGTTCTGGCCCACTGGTGGCGGATGTCCTCTTGGTCCCCTTGCATAGACTCTCATAGTACATGTCATATTATCATGAAGCATTAAACAATGATCATCTGTTCAATGTCTGTCTTCTGCAGTTCCATGGGGCCGTGGACTATATCAATCTTGTTCAAAGTGGTAGCTCTGGTTCCTAGCCTAGTGCCTGGAACACTGCAGGGCTCAATACTACTGAAATGAGTGAGCGAAGTGGAGGCAGAGGTGGCTCGGGATGTCATGTCACGATGGGTTAGGACCACCACTCCTTCCTTCTGCAACCTTTTCAAACACTTCTCACCATTCCTTGAACACTACCTTCCCTAAAATGATTTAATCCTTCTGTAATTGTCACAATACCTCACAGGTGACTTCACACTGCTGTTTTCAATTACCATCTATGTAGAGTATTCCATTTGGACTCACAGTTGCCTAGGACCTAGGATGGGCTGGGATGATTATCCACTCTTTACAGATGAGGTAACTAAAAGTTGGGGAGACGATATGTCTTAGCACTTGTAAATCAGTCAGCAGTAAATCCCAGAATTAAATCTAGGTCTTCTGACTCCCAAGTCTACTCTACCTTAGTTGTTTGGGATAGATTCCAGAGCTTCTTTGCTGAACTAACGGTTCTTTCTAAAGAAATCAGTATATGGGAAATAATTGGCATTTCGATTCATTCAGTGTTCTTTTGATTTGCACAGCCAGAGTGTCAGGACTCAGACTAATTGATGTTTCATTTGGACAGTGTGTTTATGTTTCCTTTGAGACAAACATTAAAACCACCTTCTGTCAGAGTATCCAGGTTGCTGGAGAACTCTGTTTATGGCCGAGTTGGATGCAGGGGGTTCTGATAAAGGATGGTGTCACAGATCACAGAACAGAAACACAAGGTTCATCGATGTCTAACACACTTGGAGGGGTCAGGTGAGGCGTGGGCAAGAACACATAGGCAGTGACAGTCATAGCAAGCTGAGGCCACTGGATCAATTTCCAACCTCAGGGCTGAAGATCTCAGGTGGCTGGAATCTTCCAGGCCCACAGATGTCCAAGCAGAGCCCTCTTGACAGCTCACACTGTGGCATGGGAGCCACATGGCAGACACAGCAGCTTCATTCCTGAGATAGGGAGGGGAGAGGGAGTACCAGGGAAGCAAATCTTGGCTACTTACCTCAGGGCAGACCCCTTGGGTGTCGCGATGCCATAGCCTTTGGAATCCAAGTTACCTCCCACCTTCATGGTGTCACAGGGTTTCCGCTGCTCAATGTACTCGTTCATGGTGGACTCCAGAAGGTAGGCGTATTTGCCTTTGGATTTTCTCACTCGGATCATCCCCTCCTCTGTGGTCCGCACAAAAACTGATGGCTCTGCTGACTTCATGTATGTCCACATCTTCTCAAATACAGCAATTTTAGACCTCTGGCAGGGGACAGGAACAAAGCTGGAATTAAGGGCTGGCTGTGCTTGGAATTGAGGTCGGCACACACACTAATGAAGAGCTGAGTGTAGCTTGATCGCACATTCATGAGTGAGATTAGCTCAGGAAGAAACAAATTATGAGTGATTGCAAAATAAGAGGCTCTAATTAGTATCAGTAGGTTCCAGAGTACAAATATCTTGCAAATACAGAATGAACAGAGTAGTTCAAAATCTTTTAATTACTGCTGAGTGATTATATTCCTCTTAGATATGGGGAAAGTTAAGAAACCAGGGTTTGTCTGGCTTTTAAAGTCATTAGAGAACCTATTGTTCAGTAAGGCCATCTTCATGTAGCCCAGAAGTGGAGAGCTGAGTCTCAGTGGAATCTGATGCCATTATTGGAAGAAAAAAGTATTTCTGGATCATGGGAGCCAAGTTTCAGTCATCCCAGATTATAAGATTGGCCCTCAGAATGTAAATTATTATCTGATAAAAGCTAATAACTTGGGACCTAATCTTTTAAACCTGTTTACATATCAAAAACCTTTAAATCTAGCCAACTACTTTCCTAACTTCCTCTTGAGCTCACTCTGGTTCTTCTTTCCTCTGGGACTTTCCCAGGCTGCCGACTCTCCTGGGTTCTCTGGTTTTCTCCAGCCACATCCTTCTAGTCATTTCACAGATCAGAAAAAATCCAATGTATTCTGAGAGAACCTCAGTTTCACAAGGGCAATAGTTCTCAAACTCCAGTGGGTACCGAAATTCTGTATAGAGATTATAAATGTGCAGGTCCCTTTGCTCTACGCCTATGAGGTTAGTAGGTCTGGGGTGGAGCCTAGAATAAATATTTTTCAAAAGTTCTCCAGGGCTGCTGTATGGCCTGTGGGGCCCTCACTTTTAGAAAGTGTGTTGTCAGGGCTGATATTCTCCTAGGGCATGTCCGGGCCGTCACAGGCCAGGCTGCTAGGAGGTGAGTCACCCTGCGTGTGCATAGGGCTCAAACGTCTGGATGCTCTTGGAGGGTAGAGGGTATCTTCCTTTGTGTGGGTGCTTTGCAGAGATTAACCTTGCACATAGAAGGCCCTGAGCCTATGATCCAGGAGCACAAGTCAATACTGTCATCTAACACTCTTTCTAAAGGGCATCCTTTTCCCAAAGGGTAAATGTGTTGCAGGGACATTTTAATCTGGCTTTTGAAAATGTTTTGTAAATAGACAAGTATTAATCATAAAGAGGGACTATTTTTTTAAGGACAGTTACTATTGGAGTCATGCAACCTATAAGCTAGTAGTTAATGTATAGATGATTGATTTTAGTATAAAAGTCATCATTATACAATGTATCATTTTTCTTTTTACATAGACACTGGGTTTATTTCCTTGATATCAACATCAAGCATTGGCAAAATATTCATAGACAATTAAGGTGGTGATGATCTCAGGTGGCTGGAATGTGACAGTCGTAGTCACCTGGGACAATTGTTTACAGAGAGATTTGGGCCCAGGAAAGTTCTAGGTCTCAAGGGAAAATTAATGGGAATAGTTGCTGAGAATTTCTGGGAGGCATTCTGTAGAGTGAGTCTTAAGTTTTAGTAGTCTATACTTGGGTAAATGAAATTATTTTTTTCACAGTATGGTTTACATTCTGGAAAGGGCACTGGACAGGGAGAAGGAACCTTGGGTTCTAGTCCTACTTCTTTGGCTAACTTTCCCCATCTGTTCCTTACGGGGTTGGGGCAAGGCAAGCTTTTAAGTCTCTTCCTAGCTTGAAATATCTGATTCTTTACAAAATATACATCATTAGAGCAACAATGTCCATGTGAGAAAGAAGAAAGAAAGGAGAAAAGGGAGGGAGGATCTCAAAGTTTGGGGAGAAATACCCAGAACCAATCATAGCATCTACAATGCATTTAATATTCTCTCCCAGGAAACAGGCAAATGTATAAATTCAGCTGTGACCAGATTTGCAGATCATCTTCTAGGCACAAACCCAACACAACATGTGGCGGGGCGATTGCAAGATGCAATTTGACCTGACAGGATGGCCACAGAGGGGAGCTGGGCTGCTGACAGGCAGGGCTGAAGAGCCCTCTAGGCAACAGTATGCAGAAAATTAATATGTCCTCTCAGCTCACCCCCGGTGTCCCGAACGCCAAGGCCTCTGAGAGCAGGCTATTAGGAAAATCTGATCTCCAGGGATGCGAAGGCCGTGTGAGTGGCAGGGAAGACTGGAAGCGTACTTGGGGTATTTGTTCTTGGGGCTCTCCTATCATCGGCAGCTCCCAGGGCCCTTCACACATCTTAATTAAACTGTCGATGGAGGATTAAGTGACTCTCGGGTTGGGGCTGCCTAGAAGCTGTGGGCTACCCTGGGGACCAGAAGCTAGACTTTTCACACTGGCAAATAACAATTCTTGTCTCACTATCCCTTCCTCCTGCCTTAAGAGGGTGGTAGGTAGGATAGTTTGCAAGGTCAGTCACAGAATGGAAGGGTTCATGGGCAATATCTTGTCAGTGCTCTTTTTTTTCAAGGCCCACGGGGTTTCAGTAAACTCTCCAGTGTCATAGTGTATTAGTGGCAGAGCCGGGACCAATTCCCTGGTCTCCTGATTATACACCTAGTGTGTTTGCACTGCAACCAGCTGCCTCTCTCATTTTAGGCTTTGTATCTTACTAGCTGTGTGACCTCAGGTAGGTAACAACCTTTCTAAGCCTCAGTGTTCCTCTCCTAACAATGGTGGTGATGGTACCCACTGCACAGATATGTGAGAACAGAGACAAAGTGCATAACCCAGTACCTGGCACATGGTAGGTGTTCTCTAAGTTACTACATAGTTGTGCTCTTTCTTCAGGTTTTACCTTGGGTAGGAATGCCCCCAAAATGTCTGGCTTGGTACCAGAATATTAAATACATTGTAGATTGCTATGATTATATACATGGCAGACACTGATATCAAGAAAGAGTTCTTGCACATGGAGCCCAGATAAAGCCTCAGAATCATCTCAGCATGGAACTCCAGGTGACTACGACTGTCACATGGACTACCACTTATTGGTCAACAAGGCAGTCGTCGTGGTTAGGGCACAGAGCTTGTAGAATATTCACTATATTGGTTCCTAATGCCTAATATTGTGCTGGACAAGAGATAGAAATATATCAGTGGACACAAGTATTAGTAGAACTTTGAGGTCTTAAGTCCCAGCTGTGCTTCCTAATTATGCCCGTTTTCTTCTCTGGGCCTCAGTTTCCCCACTTACAAAAGGAGAGAAGGTTAGACTTGATTTGTCCATGGGCCCATCTGGGAATCTGAGTGATCTCTAAGCAAACATAAATTAATGACACCACTCTGTTAGGACAGTTTCCTTCCCTGGGAAGAAAACCGGGGAATGAAGGTGGGGGCAGGGGATGAGGAAACAGATGTTGTACTCACCTGTAACACTGGCACCATGAATTCCCTGACTCTCAATTTCTTATCCACTAAGTGGACATGTAATCCCTGTCCTGCCTTAAGTCACAGGTGAAACATAAACGAGACAATGGATGTGAAAGTGCTTTGGGGACCGTGACATGTTAATCTACTGGGGATGAGGGCAGCATCAAGGGTAACTGAATTGGGTGTCACCAACTGCATCAGCAGCAGCCGGGGTGTAGGACAGGCTGGATGGACACATGGCAGACGTCTCCTTCACACTTTGGTAGCAGGCTAAAAATGTCAGAATAGTCACTAGATTACAAGTGTGTTTTTCTACTAACTTCTTGGGTAAGCTTGAGCAAGTTACATTTCTCTCTGGAATGGCAGATTCTGAACTACGTGACATCTAAGTTACCATTTTGCTCTAATATGTTGATAATGGATGATTTAGCCTTAGAGTTGGATGAGTGGTAGATAAGACTTTGGTCCCTTTTGTGCCTGTCCTATAGGACCCAGAGCCCATCGTTCTGTGGGTCACCCAGGCAGGGTCAGGGCTTCGCTCCATGAAGTTGCTGTGCAAACCTGGGGTGTATGCACAGGATCCCCAGCCCTTCCTTGAGGCAATGCAGAGGCTTGCTCTTTGTTCTCCCACTACCTATTATCTGTGTGACCTCAGGCAATTATTTTAACCTCTCTGGGCTTCATCTATAAAATGTGGAAAACAAATTCCTAACTCACCTCTAATGAGAGGATTAAGTGAGATTATTCATGTAGGGTGTGCTTAGCAGAGGTTCTGATTGACAGTAAGTGCTAAGAAAGTGGTAGCAGTTTTATTTGATCAATATATGGCATCCCAGTGTGCTACCTGTTCAACTCCCAGGATGAACATATCCAAAGTCCAGAGAATCACAGGTTTTCCTTCTTCTGGGCATTTATTCAAGTTGTTCCTTCACCTGGAATGTAATTATCTTACTCAGGTCTGACTTGGTTTCATGATGTCTGGAAATATTTCCATGTCTGTCCTTTATGGCCTCAATCCATAACCCTCCTTCTCAATGGCTCCGAAAGGCCGGCAGCCCCCGAGCCCTAGTGGGGAAGAGAGTCCTCATTTGTTGTTCTTTGTTTACTGTGTGTTTTGGATGCCTCATTTCTTTTATTCTCATAATGACCCTTTAAGACTGACATTGTTCGCCTCACTTTATAAATGGGGAAATGGAGGCAAAGAGGCTAAGTGCTGCATAAAGAGTGAAGGCTCTGGCCCTCTGTCCAGCTGAACCTCAGTGTGTTCCTAAGGTCTCTGCTCCTCTGCCTTCCCTCACTGCCTCCAGCCACAAGGCATCTACCACCTCCCCTCCAACTTCAGAGTTCCTCCTTCCTGGCCCTGTTGCTCAGTTCCAGTAGTTGTTTCCCACATACCATCTCCTTATTCATCAAATCTCCTAGGAGGGGACATAAAGGACATTAGGTCCTGATCTTGTCCCTAAGCTGTTTCTAATAAATTACTAGAGACCATAAAGTCTGTATGGGATCAGGGAAAGACTAATTGCCATATACTTTGCAACCCTCAGAGAACTTGGCACAGACTGGCATTTGCAAAGGGTCTGATTCACTGCAAGAGGTTTGAAGTTTCCATGAATACAGAAATGTGGATTCTTTAGGGATCTGTAGAAAGCAGAGAAATGTCTGAGTTTCCCTGACTTAAACTATGTTAAGCAGTTGCTCTGCCTAACTAAAATCTCATCCTCTTTAATGCAAGGACTATTTTAATAACAATAGTGGTTCCCTTTTGTGAAGGTGCTGTGACACAAGAGAGGCCCCTACCCTGAAGAACTCCTTAGTGGATCCTGCTTCCAGTGTCCCATAAGCGATTTCTGTCTGCTTTGCTAGGTCTTCGGCACTCTCAATGGGAGACACCATTCTCTCCACGGTCAGGAAGGCAGCCAGGTTGGCCGTGTATGAGGAGATGATGATCAAGGTGAAGAACCACCAGACGCCACCAACGATGCGGCCGGACAGGGACCTGCAGGCCAGGGGCAAGAGGAGTCAGAAGCACAGGCATCAGTTGCAGAAGGCTATGGGGAGGGGCCTGGGGCCAGCCCGAGCCACGTCAGCGAGCTGTCAAGCCCTGCTGCACCCTTTCTGTTTCTCAGTGAGATATGAGAGTTCAAATGCCAGAGAGGTTTTCCTCTGCCTTTGGCTTATCATGGATGAGGAGCTGCGGGGTTCCTGTCCTTGGGGGGTGATAACGCCCCACAGGCACATATTCACACTCACTTTCACACATACATATACATCAAGACACATGCCAACAAGGACACAAGATATGTTAGTACTTGCCCACAAAATCACCAACATGTATAAACACCCTTGTAAATGGAGTTCATATATGTCAAATGTTTGTGCATACATATATGAATGAAAATGCATTTACAAGCTGATGCACACATTTGATCATGTCCAGAAATGTGTTCAGCCTGCTTTCTTGTTATTTCCCTTCTGGCTGGCAAAGGCTGCCAGAATGAACGATCTAGAAGGAAGAGAAACTGAGAACATATTGGAAATAGAATGAGAACAATGGCATTCCAGCCACTTGGGGGACTGTCACCACGGAGTGCAGACGTAGTTCTCCCTCTACCACAGAGAAAGAATTTGGCTGAAATAAAAGACAAAGCATATTTTGTCGTAATAAAATGGCAAATATGACAGTCATCATACATGAGGTGAAAAACTTATTATTGATCTTCCTGGAGTCCTGTTCTCCTCTCTTAAGCCCTACCCAATGGAGAGAAACAGGACCAGCCAAGAGCTTCTCTGTGTTTGTCCAGATTTGGCCAGGAGATTTCCAAGTCCAAAATACCTTCCCAAAGATATTACAGAATGATTTAGATGTCATATGGCATGATCTGATGGGGTGGACAGATGGGGCATCAAATCATATTGTATAGTGGTAAAGTTATTTGCATTCTGTTTCTCTCTCCATCCTAAATTTATTAAGGAAGTGTCATCTGGAGCTATTGTGACTTTAAGCCTTTTCTTACATGTATTTCAACAGCATCAAGCTCAAAGCCATTAATGGGAGACAGTACTTAACTAGAACCTAATATTTACCAGTCAGAAAAAAACGCCAATCCAAACCATGAGTTTTATAGATATGGAAATTGAGTCTCAAATCACATTGACCCAGAAGCACTACCCAGACCTGCTGGCTGGCTTGATCATTCCACACTGGACCTCATTTTCAAAACCCTGGTCAACACTCTCTCTGTGTTATTTCCATGTTTCTGTGTTCTCTGCATTATTTCAGTTTCTTGGAGATGCCTTTTCACTCCAGGCAGATGGTGCTCACCTGAAATCCAATAAATATTTGTTGTTGCTTGCTCTATAGAAAATAAGGCTCTTAATATGCTTCACATTACGAGGGAAATAAGAGGAAATATGTTCCAAGGAATGAGACCAGGAGAGTGGAGCAAAGCTATGTCATATGAAGAACAGCTACCGAAGGAGGGAAGATTTAGCCAGAAGGAAAGACTTGGAAAGATGTGTTCACTGAATGATTGACATAAGGCTTGCACCATATGACCTGATTTAGGAGCATATGGCAGAAGTTCCAGAAACAGACACTACCTAAACACAAGAAAGTGGTATTTGGGTAGTGTGGAACAAAAATGAGATGGCCATGCTGGGGGTAGGAGTGAGTTTCTCCACTTCTGAGGATGTTCATCTGGTGGACCATTTGCAGAGATGTTATACTTGGTGCCTACTCTTGGTCGCCCAGGGTACCAAATCCTAGGACTACAACTCTAAGCAAGTGGAGGAAGGGTCAGACATCACATGGGGCCATCTTTCTCTCCTATTCTTCCCATCTCTGAGATTCTGTGATTTGAAATCATAAGTAAGTAGATTGCATGGCTTCCTCTGGGCAGTCAAGCCAAATGAGGCACATAGAGGCAAATGCTCCCAATGCTGCAGGACTAGCACACATCTGTACTCCAAAGCACACCAGTCTTTTGATAACGAAACCAGTGCTCTATTCATCTTAGGAGGTGGCAAATAAAGTGTTTAGGCCTGTGTGAAGGTGCTGCTTCTTTCCCAGCTCTGAGTGAGCACAGTGGTGTCTGAACTGGACTCACTGCTTCCTTTTAGCGTCTTTCCCTCCTACTTCTCTACCTGACCAATTCTCCACAAGGCAGCCTGAGTGAACCTTTTAAAAATGTTAATTGCATCATATTGTTTCTTTAAAGTCCATCAAAGCCCTCCTCTTAGACTTTTAATAAAATTCAAGCTCCTTGATGACCCTCAAGGCCCTCTGTGGTCTGGGCCCCGGCTCCAGTGCCATCCTCCAACACGTCTCCTGCACTCTTGGCTTTGTTTGGTCCATCACACTAACAGGCTCCTGCCCTTATCACATGCCGCTCTTGGATTATTGCCACCAACCTTATTCTTCCTTCAGACCTCATCCTAGTAATCACTTATTCAGCAAACAAGACGCTCAGAGCCCCCATGCAGCTCACATGGCTGTTGAAACCTGACATCTATTTGTATGATTGTCTGTTATTCCCCAGACCATAAACTCCATGAGAGTAAAGGAAACTTGTACTACTTTTGTTCAGTGTTGTATCTTCCAGCACTATGGACAGGGTGGCCACAGAGTGGGCATCAGGAACAAGCGAAGGCATGAAAGTATGGAATCTCATACCTGGTGGCTCTATTCACGCTGGATTCTAGAGACCAGACATATTTTATAGGGCCAGGAGAATCCAAACCTGATTATAGCCCAGGATATCTGTAGTCATGCCTCAAATCAAGTGCTGATGACTATCTCCTTTTCCAATCTTACTGAACTGAGAGACCCAGCTAAAGTATCACACACTGGGGATCATCTAGTGAAACTCAAAGTCCTTCCCAAAAGTTCCAGCACTATGGCTCCTTCTTCCCTGTTATCCTTTAATTAATATTTAATCTGTTGGTTGTTGAGAACAGCTTTCCATGCATGGTATTCCCCACATCCCCACATACAAAATGAAGGTAAGAAAGTCTGTTGCTTAACAGCCAGCAAGTGTCATCTGTGGAATAACTGGAGGGCTGGGGGAGGGGCCTCTTCAAGATGCACCATGATTCCAGGGCTTCATTTGCATCTGATCCACAAGATGGGAATTTGAGTGTAAGGCAACCCCCTCTTCTTTTCAGACCTGGTACAGGCAAAGCTGGGCCGCTGTCCAAGAACTCTGCATCTCTCCAGCGCTGTAACCGGAACCAGGGAGCTGGAGCCATCAGAGGCCATGACTAGGAATGAGAATCTTTGCTCTTCCCCGGCCCAGCCCTGGAACCACGGCAAGTTGTCTGCCCAGCTAGACCTCAGTCACCTTCTCTGTATAAGGGGTGAGACTAGCCCTACATCGTGGTGAGAAACCAAAATTTTCAGAACTAGAAAGACTCTTAATCCCTTCTCTTCCTTTAACTGACAAAAGCTATTGGAATTAAACTGGTGGAGGAGAAAGCACTTTGCAAAGTAATATTGAAACACAAGGTATTATTTTTCTGATGATGATTATTTTCCAGGGGACCACAGGGCAAAGCAGCACTTTTCTTAGTAGGGAAGGAAGAGCTGTGACCTGAACTCCTTGGAGGTCTGCCTTGTCATCTGAATTTTATTAGTCTTGTCACTTGGCATATCTCTTCCTGAAACTCTCTAGGTGATGAGGAATTCCTACGTTCCTAGGCTTGTTGGATGCTTTATCTTTTTTGAACTTTGCTTGTAGCCCTGGGAAATGGATGGACAGGGATGAATGTCCTCAGCTTACAGGTGTAAGAGCTGCAGTTAAGAGACATGAAGTGACTTGCCCAGGGTCACACAGTGAGGCAGTGACAGAGCTGGGACTAGGAACCAGTCTTCACCAAGTTCTGATCCATTTGTAGCTGTGCATGGACTTCCTCAAGCCCTGGTGAAGCTGGATCACAGTCAACACCCACTTCCGGTCCAGCTCATTGGCACCTTTGGGAGCCACAGAAAGCGGTCTGACCACCAACATCTCCACAGAACTGGAAACCTGCTTTTGTTTTCTATTGCTGCATAACAAATCACCACAAACTGAGCAGCTTCTCCCAGTGCTCATCTATTATCTCTTAATTCTGTACAGGAGTCTGGATTAGAGTATCTAGACTGTCTGCTCAGGGTCTCACCAGGCTGAAATCAAGGGGTTAGCTGGGCTCTGGTTCTCACCTGGAGCTCAGGTCTACTTTCCAGCTTGCTGGTGGTTGGCAGAGTTACCTCCTTGTGATTGTTGGGGCCAGGACCTTTGTGTCCTTTCTGGCTGTCAGCCAGGGGCTCTCAGCTTCTAGAGGTTGCCTGCATTCTTCATCACGTGCCTCGTCCTCTTTCAAGCCAGATAGCGTGGGAAATTCCTCTCATTCTTTGAACCGTTCTGACTTCGGCTCTGCTTTTAAAGGGTGCAATTGACTGGGTCAGGCCCACCTGCATAATCTCTGTATCTTCAAGTCAACTGATTTGGGACTTGAATTCCATCTGAAGAATCTCTTCACAGCAGTACCTAGGTTAGTGTTTGTATGACGGAGGCACAGGAATCTTAGACTCACATTACCACAGCATGTATCCATTCATTCGACAAGCATTGCTTCTATGGCAGACCCTGTTGGCCACTGGGGAGATGAAAGCAAATACACCACAGCCTCGCCCTTTCATGGAGAAGATGGGAGGGCAGGGTTGCCCAGCGATTAAAATATAGGCTTTGGGGTCAGCTACACTTATTTTCTGTAAAGTCTTAGCACACTGTCTACAGCATAGTGGCCTTGGTAAAACCATCATCATCATCTTACAGAAGTGTCATAAATGGTAACTATAATACCACCTTAATTATCTGGCAAGGAAGAAAACAGCACTAAGGGAACACAGAAGGGCCTGAGAACTATTCTGCTGGAAGAGGTCAGGGGAATTTACCAGAGGAGGAGAAACTTGGGCTAGGTTTCCAGGTATAAGTAGGAAATGCCAAGCAGAATAAACGC